TAAGTTCTTTGTCCTGAGCCCCTTGTTCTCCACAGAGCCAGATTAAGTTCCTTGTCCTGAGCCCCTTGTTCTCCACAGAGCCAGATTAAGTTCCTTGTCCTGAGCCCCTTGTTCTCCACAGATCCAGATTAAGTTCCTTGTCCTGAGCCCCTTGTTCTCCACAGAGCCAGATTAAGTTCCTTGTCCTGAGCCCCTTGTTCTCCACAGAGCCAGATTATATCCTTTTTCCTCAGTGCCACCTTGACCACAGAGCCAGATTACAGTTAATTAATAGGGACCAGTGGCCATTGTGCTACTGCTTGATTCCTTTGAGGAAAAGGATGAATCTGTGTCGGTTGTTTTTGATATCGCTATAAGTGGCTTGGTAATTAGAGGCCAGTCGGGGGCCGGCAGGTAGCGTAATGTGCTCTTGGATTTAAGTCAGCCGCTTACACTCCGCATTGCAGGCTCCTAGAGCAAGAGCTGCTGGGCCGCCTCAGTAGGCCAGCGCATGCACAGCGAAGGGCCCAGCTAAATAGGCCATCTTTGCCCCAGTTTTTCTGCATTCATTGCAGCTGTAAGCTACTGAGGTACAGGGACTTCTCATTCCTTGATCCCTCAGGTGTAATTATGCTGATATTTCCATCAAAGGAGTAGCATAATAGGGAGAATATCTCTGCTGATGATTTGCGCTAACCGAAATGCTACGTTGTTTTATTTATATTTGGCCTCCAGTGAGCCTGCGTCCCTGTTTCTGTGCCGTGCCCGTGGCAGCTTGCCCTCAGCATTCCTGCAGACACGCCTCGTGCCTCTTCTGCGTTATCAGCCAGAGGAAAAAGGCTCTTTAATGCCGTTTTCTGCCGTACTTGTCATTAACTCTCACACCAAACATAATTTAAACGCTTTGCCGCCTCGTCTCTGTGACCAATCGATGTCTGTACCTCTTAAAGTGCCTCAAAAAAAAATGAGAGCTCCTATGATGCTTTTGTGTTTTTGACTTCCCGATGAGCTGTATTCCTTATTTGTTGTTTGATCTCCCTGAGGACCATAGTGAAAAGTGTGCATATATCTCTAATGTGAGCATAAAGGTCTTTGCTTTAAATCTCAGTCAGTGGTTCTTAGCCCTCTTTTAACTGGCAGACGGCCTCATGTGCAGGGTGACAGGCTCTTTTTGCTTTGCTTTAAAGCCTCAGTATTGACTGGGGAATTCAGAGTGTGTAGGATCAAGAAATAATTGCTCCAAGTAGCTTAGCTTAGACTCTTTGGTAGACTGAAGACCCTCCATGTGGTAGTGGCCCATCAGAACCAGGGGTGAGACACATTGATGTAACATGCAGGTAAGGTGAATACAATGTAACCGTCTCTCCATCTCTACACATGAGGACTGACAGGAGCGTCGCTGGACGGTGTGGGTCAGCCGACGGCCGACCTGTCCCTCAGCCCCTCAACAGAGAGTTCCCCGGGATCCTACCAAGAGAACGTCCTGACCAGAGAGGACAGGGAGGGGGACAGGAAGCAGCAGAGGAAGAAGAAGAAGAGGAGACCCAAGGAGGAGATATGTGATGTTGGGGAGGATTGGGGTCCAGAGCAGTGGAACCAGGGAGAAGACACCTTTCCATTTGATAGCCCAGACCAGTCCCCACTGAGAGGAGCAGGGTGGCAGTGTGAGGAGGGGGGTAGAGGTGGGGTCAGGGTTAAGAAGGGCAAAATCAGAAAGAAGATTCCAGATGTGTGGGATATTTTTCCGGAGTCTTCTTTACCCTCTGCAGCCACTGTTCCCAAGACAGATCCTGCAGGGCTCACCTTGAACTCCAGTCTTCAGACCATGGAGAGCCCCAGCCATGTCGCCATGGAAACCTTGGACACTGTTTTGCTGAATGCAGAGGAGGAGCTGTCGTCTGATACTACCCCTTCTCCTACCAAGGATCGACCTGGTTCCCACTCAGCAAATAAGGCAGCATCATCACCGAAACAGACCACCAATCAGGACAGTGTCTTCCCTGAATCCCCTCGCATAAATGCAGGTGAGCCTAGTCAGTTGAGGCACCAAGATGGCGACACGTTCCTTCTACTCTCTGGTGTTAGCACTGACACTATAGCTGACCCAGTTAAGCAGGGTTGCTATCACATCCCTGCAAGTCCTCAGCCTGAGAATGAAGCGAATGCCATTACAGCAGCCCCAGAGAACACCTCCAGTGTCAGCACTGTAAAACAGCCACCCTCAGATATAGTCGCCTCAGAGAACACCTCCAGTGTCAGCACTGTGAAACAGCCTCCCTCAGATACAGTCGCCCCAGAGAACACCTCCAGTGTCAGCACTGTGAAACAGCCTCCCTCAGATACAGTCGCCCCAGAGAACACCTCCAGTGTCAGCACTGTGAAACAGCCCCCCTCAGACGGCCCCGCTTTGATCTCCATGCCATCTCACCCTGCTGAGTCCCCAGTGTCTAGTCCTGTGGGCCCCCAGGCTCTGCCTGTCATGGAGGAAACAGGCCCCGTGTCCTCAAAAGTGCTCACTGCAGGTGTCACTGTAGATCCTAACAATGCACTGCCCTTATCTGGTCAGGTTGCTTTAGCTCCTGAAGACGATCCCTTCAAGATACCACAACACCAGGAGCCTCTTCTCACTAGTCTCCCAAGCCCTAGTAGCCCAGCCCTGACCAAAGATAATTCCCAGTCCACTCCCTCTCCTAAGAAGTCATCTAGAAAGAAGAGTTCCACCTCCCCAAAATCCCCAGGTCCAACCACCCCAGTCCCTACCCCTGCATCCTCCCTCCGGAGCCCCCCAATGGTCATTGCGGCCTCCACACCTGCCCCTGCCATACCTGTAGTGAGCTCAGGCCTGAACCCCTCAGCCCCGCCGTTTTTCCCTAGTTCTCTGGAGCACCATCAGTCCCAGCTCCAGGACTGTGACCAGAAGCAGGGCCAGGCCGCACCCTTTGTGCTGGAAGGTTGGTGACACCCTGCGAATCGCATGGTGTGGTGCAAGCGTGGGCCGGCGCTCTTGAAACCCTCAATTAACTTCTGCTGCGCTGCATCTATCTAGGAGAATGTGCCTGTGGATCTGGGGTTTGCTTTTTCAGGCTTTGGAGTGGATCTGATTTTCTGCTGCCTTTTCCATAGTGCACTTCTGGCTTGGCAGTATCTGATTAACCATGGTGTCGAAACAGACTAATCAAGATTTGACTCGGCTTTTTCAACTTAATGGCTTTTTTAAAGCTGTACTAAAGCGTTCATCGTCTTACTGTATAACCCCATACTGCTGATTCTTTCATCAAATGTGGGTAACATGGTTTAATCAGAATGAATACTGTTTATTCATTTGAAAACCATTATTTACAGCATGTAAAAATAATCTCTCTCGTTTCTTGTTCCATACCTTTCCCACCCCACCCCACCTTTTCTGCCACCGACGATGGATGATCAAAATAGGTAAGTTAGTCGATTTCCTTGCTGACAGTGTGGTTAGTGGCAGTAACCTTTGTCTGTGGGTTGGACATAGGTAGTGTCCAAAACTCTTAGGAATGCCGGATAAAGTGTAAATACACAAGGACATTTATTTATTTCATTATTGATTTTTTAAATCGAGTTTTATTTTCATTGATTTTTACTTTTCAGGACCTTTCATTTTAAGTGGCTTAGTAAGGAAAGCTTGAGCTCTCATTACGTCTGTCGATAGTCTGCGTTTGTAAAACGTTTGTCAAGATAAATGATGACTCCTGCTGCAAACTGTATTTACCTTCGGGTACTAATTGCGTAACCTGAACCAAATAACTTGTTGCATTTAAGGTACCGCAGTTTAAATGGACTTTATTTTCATTCGCTTACGTTTAGCCCAGACTGCTTTATATCTGACAAGTTATCCAACTAAGCAAGAGATCCTGCTTTCTGAAACAGGCCCCTGTAGTTGAATGTGCAAGGGGTTACATACAGCTATGGAAGAAATTAAGAGACCACAGCAAAATTTTCTGTTTCACTCATTTCTCAATTTATGGGTGTGTGTCTGTGGAAAAATAATAAAAAAAAAATCTCCTGCTTGAGTTTGTTTTTATGTACTGCTGTCTTAGAAACTTTGAGCCTGGAAGCAGCCTGTCGCTCAGTGTAGCCTCTGCCAGCAGAACCAGGATTAAACCAGGATTTAAAAATGTATTTTTTTTTTTTAAATATAGAGTGGCCTCTTTATTTTTTCCAGAGCTATATATGTAAATATTGGTGAAGACCAACTGCTATGAATTCTTGCTGATGATTGTGGGGATTTCCCCTCCTTTTGGTTGCAACTGGTACTTGTGATAGTGTACTGTATCCCAGGAAGTCCTTTGTAAAACAGGGAGGGGGCTTTAATGCTCCAGAGTGGCAGGGCAGACATGGGAAAGGACTCCCCCCCACCAGAGTCCTGTCTGTCTCCCATTCGTCTTATATTAGACCTCGTAGGAAACCTCTGTACTGTCGCAGCACTGAATGAACAGGAAGGGGCTCTGTGCTGTCATTAGTGTCTGTGCTGTCATTAGTGTCTGTGCTGTCATTAATGTCTGTGCTGTCATTAGTGTCTGTGCTGTCATTAGTGTCTGTGCTGTCATTAATGTCTGTGCTGTCATTAGTGTCTGTGCTGCTCATTAATGTCTGTGCAGCTCATTAATGTCTGTGCTGTCATTAGTGTCTGTGCTGTCATTAGTGTCTGTGTTGTCATTAATGTCTGTGCTGCTCATTAATGTCTGTGCTGCTCATTAGTGTCTGTGCTGTCATTAGTGTCTGTGCTGCTCATTAGTGTCTGTGCTGTCATTAGTGTCTGTGCTGTCATTAATGTCTGTGCTGTCATTAGTGTCTGTGCTGTCATTAGTGTCTCTCACTGAGCCTGTGTGTACAGAGCACTTCCTGCCTCTGAGCCCGTGTGTACAGAGCACTTCCTGCCTCTCACTGAGGCTGTGTGTACAGAGCATTTCCTGCCTCTGGGCCCGTGTGTACAGAACACTTCCTGCCTCTCACTGAGGCTGTGTGTACAGAGCA